CGCATACAATGGCCTCCGGACTAGGTGCGTTCCTCCAAGTCTTCCTACCAATATGACTGAGTTGCGAAAACAAGGTCAAACAACTTCTATACAGCGAAAAGAGACTGCGACCACACAAAAGGTCACACCATCTTGGTCTTTATACCTTCGATAAACTTAAAATGTCCCATGTGGTAATGTTCTGTTTTGATGTATTATTCCGCTTCTGCCGGACCCTCTGAGGTGTATTTCAGCCCATCCTGTTTACCACTTCTTGTGGTCGAAAGACTCCACGATAAGGCATCAGCATCCATCCAGTTCTTTCGGGTCCGGTCGATACACCAGGACATCCGAACACACACACACACACACGAATACACTAACATACTAACGTGTGTGTGAGTATACGAACACATGCGTACAACCTTAACCGATGATGGTGCATCATTGCTCATGAGGTCAGGTGAAATCAAATATACACCCTCCTTCCGTTCCATGCAGAGGTCCTTCCCATAGCAATGCCGATTGTACCTTCCTGCACACACACACACGCTTGTATGCATACCTTGGCATTGAGACGCTTCTGATTATCGCATCCACTTGTGTCTGCACTGCTGGCCACGTGTGCACATGTGGTCTAGGCAACCAAGCCGCAAGTCCATTCATGCGGACGTGCTCCAGCCCATCTGCCTTAACAATGGCCTCTGCCAATGGCCAGTCGAGGCCCGGCTACGAGTGTCCGAAGCCCTCCAGCCTCCCATGCGTGATTCATCCGACTCGATTTTATCTCGGACTCGAGCCCTATTGCCTCACAAGCCCCTCTGCCTATTCGCTCTTCTAGATTTGGTAGTTCGCCCATTCAAAGCCTGGCCCCCTGACTCTTGCCACTTGCCTCCCCGTCTAAACCTCCAGAATCAACGGCATAGCAACGGGCCGTCCCAACGACTTGCCCATGGCCGCAATGTGTTGTTCGTAGTTCCATCCTAAGAAGCCTCGACTAGTACGTCTGACAAGCTGATAGTTGCTACGGCCGAGGCTGGGTTGTAGAAGAGACCAATTGGCTATCGATCTAGATTCTTCTATCTCTGCCGATCTTCCATGGGTTACATTGTTCGTTAGTCTATATCTTTGATTATTCTCACCTTTCCGTCCGTCTGTCCGTCCGTCCAATGATGAGACAAATAAATAAAATAAGAAATTAGATACAATCGGACCATTAGACATACCTACAGGTGCATAGAGTTCTAGTCAGCTTCCATGTGGACTACTGTTTACTCATTCATCTGTACCATCGATCCCTCACTGCAGAGGCATGTCAACACTATGGACAGTCTATCCGTACAGCAGTAGTCACGGCTTGCTTTTTGTGCCAAAATACAGTGTGCACTTGCTATTTACCGTGTTTTACTTAAGCTTCAATTATATTCATTCAACTCGACATTTTATCTCGTCATGGCTACGCATTACCTCACCGTCAACGTCTACATCAGTCCCTGAGACGCCTCAACACAGATCAAACATCGTCTTCTAGCCTTGTCTCTATATTCATTGTGC